AAAAGTTTAACTTACGTTTTGTGCAAATTTTTGTTGCAGCCATATATTTAAAATTTAATTTTGAGTAAAAAAAAAGTTTAGGAAGGAAAACCAAAAAACAATGGGGATAAATATGAGCTAATTTTATTTTAAGAACATATAAAATTTAAATATTGAACAATATTTAGTAATATTTTCAAAAAATTTTGACAGCTAAGTTAAACCCAAGCATTAACTTAAATAAACTTAAATATAATTTTTAAATCAAAAATAAATTATAAATTTTTTAAATTTAATTAAATTCTTTATATTTTTTTATCAGAATAAATTTATATATTTTTATTAAATTAGTTTTAAATTCAATCATATATATTTTTTTATTAGAATTAAATTATATTATTATGATCTTATTATTAAATTATATTATTATGATTGGCTTCAAGCTTAAAGTATTAGCATTTTTCAATCCAATAAATCAATCATTACCATAAAAAACAAAACAAAAATAAATTTTAAATTTTATCATTAGTAAATAGCGCTTATATATATATATATATATATATATATATATATATATATATATATATATATATATATATATATATATATATATATATATATATATATATATATATATATATATATATATATATATATATATATATATATATATATATATATATTATTATTATTATTATTATTAATTAATGCTGTTGAGATAAAGCGCCAGGCAATATCTATGACAGCTGGTATAAATTAATTAATGAACAAGTTAGTTCAGTCACTAAATAATAAAAAACGTTAACAGTAAGCTTTCTTGGTTTTTATCTTGTTTGTTATTGCTTCTAAGTCGACCGATTGCAAGTTTAATTTGAAGATTTTAACTGTAGTAGATTGAACAACTTCGGCTGGTAGACTATTCCATCCATCGACAACTCTATTGCTGAAAAAATATTGCCTTTTCAAACAATTTCTGACCAATTCAGGTTTCATTCGATGTTTTGCTCCTCTAATGTTAGCTGCAGGACCTGATGAGCAAATAGAGTTCATTGTTTGATTTTGTTTAATATCAATGATTTCAATACCTTTAAATATTTTGAATTGCTGGATTAAATCGCACCTTAGCCTTCTAGTCTCCAAAGTAGTCAAACCCAAAATTTCCAATCTTTTTTTGTACTCAAGATGTCTAAGCTCTGGTATCATTTTGGTAGCTCTTCGTTGGACTTTTTCTAGTTCATTAATATATTTTGTATAATATGGACTCCATGCTTGAATTGAAAACTCTAAATTTGGTCTAACATATGTACAATACAGTGTTTTTATTAGATCTTTATCCTTGTACTTGAATGTATTATTTAGTAGTGAGAGTATACTATTTGCTTTACTAGCTGCATATTTTACTTGTTTGGCCCATTTTAAATCACTTGATATATAAACATCAATATCTTTTTCTAATTTTGACTTTTCAATTTCCATTAATGTATTGTTATTGTTCATAAAATATGAATATTCGTTATTATTTATATATATATATATATATATATATATATATATATATATATATATATATATATATATATATATATATATATATATATATATATATATATATATATATATATATAATATAATATAATTGTCATTCAAACTTTTATAACAAATATTTTTATATAATCATCATTCAAAAGTTGATGTGGTTTTTTTAAAAATTAATTATTTCTTTTATCTTACTGCTTATAGCATAATTTAAAAGTTAAAAAATGATAAAAGGTTGCTTAAACAAAATAGCTTACTGCTTCTGTAAAATCGCTTAAGACGTATGTAAATTGCTCTACGCGGAACACTTTAAAACAAGGCCTATCAAGGTCTAATAATATTAAATGATATAATTTTTTTTTTTCAAAACATAACTCAAGTAGTAACTGTTTCACAATAGTTGTTTTCACAACTATTAAGATGCCTCCACAATTACAATGTTTCATGGTGCCCCACTCTCATGTCAATGCCCCACTCTCATGTCAATGCCCCACTCTCTCTACTATAATAACTATTATATACTGTTATTTGTGTTTTTTAAAGTTTTATAAAATTTATAGCATGTTAGCAATGTTTATACTTAACTATGTATTTCATCATTCTTTTTGTTTACTATGCTTACTATGTTATGCTCGTGATTTTCATAAATACTTTCATACAAAACCCTTCCAAGGTGGCTCAGGGCCCAAGAGAAAAATTAAATTGTGAAGCTCCAAATTCTAAATGTTATTTATACAATAACATTGTAAATATGATTGTATAAACTTTTTGATATTTAGCAAGTATTTAAGTCTGTCCGAAAATCATTGGGGTTTGGGAATAAATTTTTTCGTTGCTAGAGTGGCTCTCATTTTGGGCTTTCATTTTGTTTTGCCCCATTATTTTTTAAATGATGTGGTGTTAAAAAATATAAATTACTTTATTATTTTTATTACAATTTATTTAAAAAAAAATTTATTCCTATATTTCAACTAAATTACTTTTAATCTATTTAGTCAATTTCAAATATGTTTTTGTCATTAGAAAATATATTAGACAATTATATATTGTCATTAGAAAATATATTAGACAATTTAATTGACAGTCTAACTGTTTAAAAGTTATAACAACACTAGAAATGTCTGCCACATCCATATCATACCATTTTTTATATTAATTGCACCAGGCTTTGCTTTGCTTTTTGCTGTTTTGAAAACCTTGGTTTCTTGCATGCAAATCACCATAAATCTTTGAAAAATTCTATCACTCAAATTTTTCTAGATGTATTGTTTAATTTATGGCAAAGAGCGACTGATGATAATTTTTTGTAACGTTTCGTCAAACAAATTGATAAATATTAATTTCATTGTGTTGTTATAGTGACCAGATTGTTAGTGATCCTTTATGTCACCTGTTTCATTGTCACATTTTTAAATACCCACAAAGAAAAACATTGTTCTTTTCGTATATAACAAATTTTTCAAAAAAAGTTGTGACTTATTTTGTTTAATTTATTTGTGTTTTTACTTATACTATTTTCAAAAACTCTGCAAAAATTATTAAGAGTTATTGCAATTAGTATTGTGTTCTTCTTTTTTTATATATAACTGCTTTAATTGTCAGTCATATTCCCAAGTTAAATGAGAGGTGCAATACAAAAAAGAAAAAAAACGACTGCAGTGAAACCATAGGGCTTCACAATCTGAATACATAAAAAAAATTTAATCTGAATTATATAGCAACTATATTTGGATAGGTAGACCTGTTTCAGCTATCCACTTGTATAAAATGTGATGTTGGTATCTTATAGTATGTTGTTTTAAAACAAGTTTAGCAAAGTTAACATTCGTACTAAAAAGATAGATTGCTCAGAGTATTCATACATTAAGTATAGACAATTTTTTTGAAAATTATATATGTATGGATAAGCGCAGTGAGTTTTATACAGAATGACAATGTATACAAAATGAATAAAGAGGGTTTTAATGTGGGCTGTAGGTACAATATCTAGAATAATAATGCTTGATTTACCAGAGTAGTTAAAGCAAAGTAAAAGTTATAAAATTAAACTCGAACCAATTTAAAATATTTTAAACCATTTTTCATAAATTTATAAAGGAAAGTACAATTAAGAAACAAGTTAATGTAAACAATGCTAAAAATTGCAAACGAAAGCATGTTTTTTTTAAAACTTAAAATAAAAATATTCAAATTTTTTTTTAGTTAAGTGTCTATGTAAAGCAGCATAATAAATGTATCATTTAAAACCATATTTTTTATGATTTATTTCCTTAACTTTATTTAATTGTACAAATTTTGTAAAAAAGTGACCCTTCTTTTAAGGATACATAATACATAATTTATACATATTTAATACATAATACATATTTTATACATAGCTTATAGATAATTTAAAAATAATTTGTTTATGTTTCATTACATATGTCAAAACATTAGCACATTATCATTTTATGGTCTAATTAAAAAGTAATTACTTTAAACAGGATACTTCTACTTAAAGTAATTGGTTTTCCAAAGGCTTTAGAAAATTTTCTTCTATTAACCTCTTTTTGTGGAAAAAGGTATTTCATAATTTTTTTTCAATTTGGATATACACTATTTTATTTTGTAATAAAATTAACAAATAATAATATAGTAACAAATCACTGCTAATGATTTTTCATAAAAATAATAATAAATTTATATATATATATATATATATATATATATATATATATATATATATATATATATATATATATATATATATATATATATATATATATATATATATATATATATATATATATATATATTTTATATAATTATGTATTTTTTATTATAAATGTCTTTAAGTAAAAAAAAAATTACATTAACTTTTTAAATAAATGATTTAATGCATGTGTGTATGTATGCATATATGTATGTATATATAAAAGTATACATACATACACATATGCACACACACATATATACATATATTCATATGTGTGCATGTGTCAATATGATGTAGTAACTAACAATATGATGTAGTAACTAACAATATGATGTAGTAACTAACAATATGATGAAGTATGAAAATATTGATCGTAAAGACTACTATTTATTACATCTTAAAACTAACTTACTAACTTAGCAATTGATATTTTTTACAAAATATATATACTTTTTAAAATTAAATTTATAATCAAATCAAATTGATTAAAATTTAATCTGTTAAAAAATGATATATATATATATATATATATATATATATATATATATATATATATATATATATATATATATATTGTGGGTTATAACCACAAGTAGCCTCCTCATCTGTAGTGGCCTTCTCCGCCTTGGGGAGGTGAATTACAATATATATATATATATATATTATATATATATATATATATATATATATATCACTTTAACAATATTTTAAATTAAAAGTATTTAAAACTGAATTATATTATTAAAAATATATAAGTTAACTATCAATAAGATTTAAAAAAAAAACTTACAGCAAGTAACTTAACAATGGTTTCACCTATACCAGCATACACAGGTTCACGTTCTAATGTATTAAACAAAGGACAAGGGTAATCTATAAATAAAATACAAGATTAATATGCAAAGCAAATTCTGTTAACAATGAAAAACTAAATTGTTACAAATCGAAAACTGTATTTTAATTAAAACATCTTACATTTAAACTCTGCTCCGATCCGTAGCAACAGCCTTAAAGGGAAATTTTTAGCCCATGGAATTTCAGTACTAGTTATATAAAGCCCAAACAAATATGGCGTGGTCGGAATAAGCAGATTTTTTTGACACTAAAAAATAATTCAAATTAATTTTTTAATTAAATTAATTTGAATTTTTAAAAAAATAATTATTTAAAAGAAACATTTTTTGTTTTATATCCTTTATTCCAAGATAAAAAAAATATGAATAAACAAGATTAAACATAACATAAAAATATATTTAAAAAATAAATAAAAATATTTAATTTTTTTATTTATATTTTAAGATCAATCAATCGTTTATAGTATTACATTTTATCCAAAATAAACTTTTATAAATTTTTGGAAATATTGTGCAGAAGATTAGAAAATGAATGAATTACCTGCAATGAACTTTTAAAAAAAAGCATTCCTGCACTTTTATAAGAAAATGCTATGTTGTTATCAAATTCAAGTTGTTCTAAGTCTGAAACTGGATGACCTAAATAAATAAAAAAAAAATTGTTATATCAAAAACCATTGGAATAATTATATATATATATATATATATATATATATATATATATATATATATATATATATATATATATATATATATATATATATATATATATATATATATATATATATATATATATATATATATATATATATATATATATATATATATATATATATATATAGATATATATATTTCACTGTAACTAAATATTTATTTGAAAAAATAAAAATTTATTTAAAAGTAAACAACAGCAATTTAATATTTGTAAAACCTTGTTTTGCTTTTTCAAAAATGAAGTTCATTTGCTGAAGAACTTTTTTGATCAATAACACGTCGCTAAGATCAGATGAGCCAACAGTAATCATTATGACCTAAAATCATAAAGTCATTTAAACTAATTATACGTATGTATATATTTATATAAGTTAGTAGAAAATCACTTAACAAAAATCTTTATTATATATATATATATATATATATATATATATATATATATATATATATATATATATATATATATATATATATATATATTCATTATCAATGTTTTTATGTTTTTTCATACTTCTTTTATTGGTATTTTTATTCAAAATAATAGCGTTTTTAACAAAATATTGAATATATTTAATAACTACACAAATCAAAAACCTGGTTGAAAAAAATTTGGTTAATTTTTTTTTTTTAAATCAGTTATTTAAATTTATAAAAATATATTTATTAAAAATATACCAATACTTATACAATATTATTTTTAAAACTTATGTTAGCAAATTTGAAAAATACAACTATATTTAAAAAAAATTTATTTATTGTTTTGCTTGAAATTAATTAATTTATTGTATTGGTTGAAATAATTCAATTATTGGTGACCTCCTAACCACCAAATATCCACATATAGAGTAAAACTAAAAACCAACTGTTCTTACATCAAATAACAGATGAATATTTAACCTCCTCAATAAAGTTAGAAATTTTTAATAATATCCAATACTTACAATTTCTTCTTGATTTGATGCACCCATACCATCAGAAGCAAAACACCAGCAGCGCTTTTCAGTACAGCAACTCACTCAAAAGAGAGGGAAAAAAAACTTAACCTAACACTATCAGAAAAAAATCATATCTAAAAACATGTAAGAACAAGTAAAATAATTCAACTTTATTGTGAATATAAATTTTTATTAAAAAGATTATAATATAGTATATTATAATAAAGGCTATTCTAGGACGCAGTATCCTTCTGCCTCTCTTTTAACCCTCCCTAAAAAACTTAATTCAAAGTGGGGAGAGAACTTAAAAACTATATGTGCAAAAAAAATTTATTTTATATAAAAATTTTTAATTAATGAATACAGATTATTTCACTTGTATTTTTACAATCTTTGAAACTTTTTTTAGTTGAATAAAAACTTTTGTTTAAATTGATGCAATATTTTGTATATGAATTATTTATAAATATATTTATTAAGAGAAAAATTTATTTAAAAAACAAATTTATTGAGATTAAATAGCGAACAAATTTATTAGGAGAAGGAAAAAAAAACAAAAACCAATTAAAAGTCAAAATTATTAGTATAAACAAATAAAAAAAAAAAAAGTATAAATAAAGTATAATTAAAACTAAATTAACTCAATAAACTTTTTAAGAACAGTAAAGAAAATCAACTTTAACATAATCTAAGTATTATTCCTACAGTGAATGTTCAACGTATATAAGATAAGTTATGTCAACTAGTTTGTAGTGGAATTTTGGCGGTGCCAAAATCTGGCCAAAATAAGTACAATGCTGTCAAAAAGATCTTTATGATTATTAAACATTTATTATAAGTATATCATATTAAACATTTATTAATAAACAAAAAAACATTTATCATAAGTATATCATATTAAACATTTATTAATAAACAAAAAAACATTTATCATAAGTATATCATATTAAACATTTATTAATAAACAAAAAAAATATATAAAAAATATTTTAAAATATTAAAATTATTTATTTACTTACAGTTGACAACTTTGACTTTTACGACCAAATTTTTGTTCACCATAAAAGGAACTGAATCTGCAGATGGATCTGATACATACAGAGAACAAAACAATTTATAATAAATATAAAACAAATACAAAAAAAAAAAAGCAAAATAAATACAAGGCATACAAAAATAAATACAAAGATATTTAGCCCAAAAATTTAGTTTGATTCTTAAATATAATATTTACATAAGTTATAGTTTCACTTAAATTTTTGTGAGCAGCTATTTTTTCAGACTATTTTTTTTATAAAGTGAATAGAATAAAAATAAAAAGTAAATTTCAAAAAAAAAAAAAAATTAAATTTCAAACGAATTTAAGTATATTTAAACAGAATATAAGTAAATTTCAAGAGTATAAGTAAATAAAATTGTTTTTACTGGAGTTTTTTGTATACATTTTTTCAACTGTTTTAAATACTTATGCTAGTCTATAAATGTGTTTTTTAAAATTGAGTCAGATTATGTTTAATACTTTATGCTTTTTTTTTAATGTTTTAAATAACACAATAAAGTCAACAGACAGTGACAAAAATTTTATAATTCAACAAAGACAAAAAAAAAAAAATCCATAAAAAAATGTTTAGATATTGATTGAAACAGTTTTTATTCAAGTTATTATAGAAATATTATTTATAAATGTTTATATGAGAATGTGGCATGTCCTAAAACATACATACATACATACATACATACATACATACATACATACATACATACATACATACATACATACATACATACATACATAAATACATACCATTCATTTGGTTAAACAAACTTGGTAAATCTGGATTGTTAACAATTCGTGTTTCTAAAAAAAATAATTAATAATGCTTTAAAATTTACAGATAAAATTGAATTATTTCTTGCATTTAATTGCATAATTAATATAAACTGCTTTTTCACTAACTATGTGGAAATGCAAATGCCAAGTGCATATACATTTGACATTTGCATTACCACAATTTGGCTAGTGAAAAAGCATTTTATTTTGATTATGCAATTAAGTGCAATAATCAAAATAAATTAAAATAAACACTGAATTTGCACATAATTACACAAATGTTATATATACTTTTTTACAAAATAGATTCTCAAACTAACAGACATAGCATACAACAACATAATTACCATTGATTGCATGTCTAACAAGAAAAAATACATTTGAAGAAATGAAGATGAAGAAATTAAAATAATACCTTCATTATCTTTCCTGAGTATTGGTGGAAGATTTGTAACAGCACTATTAAACATGATTACAGCACTCATTTCTGATTCTGAACGATTTCTTGGTGAACGCGTACGATTTACTGAAGGAGTGTAACCAGGCAAGCTGGATAAAGTTGGAATAGAAGAAATACCTTAACAAAATTAATACATGTAAATCACATGACAAGCTGCCATAAATTTAACAAGATAAAACCTTACATGAACAATAATAAGGGCAAAAATTGTATAAAAATTAGGTATATATTAAAAAAAAAAAACTGATGTTAAATTTGCTAAAGTGTACCATTAAACTCGTATAAAAAAAGTAATTTTTTGTTTATTACTAAAATACTATGAGAACATAAACATTAAAAGGTTTTACAAATAAATTTAAATCTTTTAAGGAAACAAGTTTATAATAATTTTCTATATTTAGCTTTTGTTAAAAATATGTAAAAAAAGAGTCTTAAAGCAATTAATTAGCAATTTCCATGGAAATTTGCAAAACAAAAATTCCATCAATAATTTCACTAATTCCAGAACTTCTCTACAAGTCAATCTTATAAAACTTTATGAAAATAAAAAAAATAAAAAAAAAAAAATTTTATGAAAATAACATACATATATACAGTATACATAACAATTTTTATGATAATTTTCTATATTTGGCTATATGTTAAAAATATGTATATTGACTATATGTTAAAAATATGTAAAAAAGAAGTCAAAATTTGCAATTTCCATGGATCCCATCAAAAATTTTACTAAATCCAAAACTTCTCCACAAGACAATCTTATGAACCTTTATACATACTACTAATTCAAAATTTAGCATAAACTTCAAGAATCAAAACAGCTATGTATCTTTAAAAAACTGCTCTTATAAATTTAAAATAAAAATGCAACAGTAATCTATCTAAACAGGGGATTTCGCAGCAGTCCTTAGTTTAATGCTTGTGATCACACACAAGCAGTTACCCTGCGACAGTTTTACTTTTAAATATAGAACATGTGTTCTACATATATGTGTTCTAGAAAATGTGTTCTACATGTGTTCTAGATCTGTCTGTATAAGCATTTTAATGAATTTTTTTGTTGTTGAACCAACTGTTGATGCTTTTTAAACCTAAATCAAATATGTCAAAGGCACGAACTATTATTGTTGTGGATGAAAGTATTAAGCATCTTTATAATTAATGGTATTTCATCTATTTTTATATATCTTTACTAGGTCTCTGCGAAGCTTCAATGTTTCCGATTGAATCAGAAAAGTGATTTGAGGTATGATTAAAAAAATCTCTATTTTTGAATCAAATCAAAGTAAATTATAAACTTTCCAATAATAACTTTCCAATATTTTATAATTATTAAAATTACATTTTCAACATTATTAGAATGTTGAAAATGTAATTTTAATAATTATAAAACTTTATAAGTTTTTAGTTGGTACTGCAAGTAACCTAGAAGTGCTATCCAGCCATTATTTTGGTGAAAAATAAAAAAAAAAATGAAAAATTTGAAAAAATGTTATACATACAATTGAACATTGTAGAATTCAATAGAAAAAATATTTTTTCAAAAATAATGTTAGAATATCAAGAATATTCTTCTCAAACACATCAAGGTATTTTTATATCACATAGCAACGACCATAGCAATTGTTTTATCCTATAAGTTAGTCTCTGAAAACTAGACATGCCAAGCCTGTAACTATTCTTTTTTTAATGTTTTAAGTTTATATTGGTCTAAATGTCATAAATCTAAGTTACATTGCTATTTTTAACGGTTTAACATCGTGTTGTTGCCTTTTTGAATTCAGATGAAATAGTGCTTTACACTTTTAATTTTTATATCTCACCTATTACAGTTAAAAAGTTGTTGAAAAGTATATTATGGCCGACAAAAAAAGAATAATAAGACCAAGGAAAAGAAAGTTTAACGGCAATCAGCATAATAATTCCAATAACACCAATAAGCAATTTGATACAAACACAGGAAGTTCTACAAGTAGTAAAAAGCTAAAAAATAATCTTGAAAAAATATTATTTGATAACAACAAATTTATATTTTTTATGCATTTTAAACAAATGAAATATTGTTTTGAAAAGTATGCTACTTGTAATATATGTGGTACAAAGCTTTCCATGTTGCATGATCATTCAAGACACTTCGGTTTTTCTTTGTTTTTTCAAATTTATTGCAGCGGTTGTGCTTTTAAAGATAAATTTTTTTCTTCTCCTGTTGTCAAAAACAATAAACCTGGTATAAATACTAGTGAAATTAATGTACGCAGTGTTATGGCATTCAGGGAGATTGGCAGAGGCAGAGATGCAATGTTAACTTTTACCTCCATAATGAACATGCCACCACCTTTATCAAAACCTAGTTTTGACTGTATTAATAGCAAACTTTACGATGCTTATAAATCAGTTGCTGAGCAAAGTATGAAAAATGCTGCTATGGAAGTTAGGAGAATACTGAAACCTGACTCTAATATGAATGATGTTATTGATTGTAGTGTTTCTATTGATGGAACCTGGCAGTGGAGAGGATATTCTTCTTTGAACGGTGTTGTGGTAGCAATGCCTCACGACAACAACAAAGTATTGGATACTGTTACATTATCTAAGTTTTGTAAAGGATGTCAAATTTTGGAAGGAAAAAAAGGGACACTCAAATATGAGCAATGGAAAGTTAATCATTCCTGCCAAGTAAACCACACTAAATCAGCTGGTGCAATGGAGTCAGCTGGTGCAACAGAAATATTTTGCTCTTCAGTAAATAAATATAACATTCGCTATTCTAAATATCTCGGAGATGGAGACACTACCTCATTTAGCACAGTTATTGCACAAAAACCTTATGGTGATGACCTTGTTCCAATAAAACTAGAATGTAATGGGCATTACCAGAAGCGTACAGGGAATTGACTGTGTCTTAAAAGAAAAGAATTACAACGGGTAAAACTGACAGAAAAGGTATAACTACTAAAGGTCGTCTCACGGATAAAGTAATTAACATCTTGCAAAATTATGTTGGAATGGCTATTCAACAAAATTCAAATAGTCTTTTGGAAATGAGGAACTCTGTAATAGCTTCACTTCATCGTTGCACTAATTTTACCTCTGAAGAATATCGTCATATGTTTTGCACCAAGGGTGAAAAAAGCTGGTGTAAATGACAGTCTGATAGAGCAACTGATCATGTTACATACAAGAAAAAGGTGAATTTACTTGTTGCCATTATAGAAAAGATCAAGCCAGTATTTCAAAATCTAGCAAATACTGATATGCTGGCAAAATGTTTGCATGGCATGACTCAAAATGGAAATGAAGCGTTTAATCAACTAATTGGAACCGATCCCCTAAAACTATATTCACCTCTAAAGTTGTTGTTGAAATGGTTGTTTACTCTGCAACCATTACTTATAATGATGGTTTTGCTAAGTTATCTTCTGTATTTGATGCTCTCAATATTAAATCTGGTAGTTACTTTGAAATTGGTGCAAGTAAAAAAAACTCTATACGGCTAAAAAATAAGAACAAAAAAATGTCTGACGAAACAAAAAAAAAAGAGAAAAAAAATAAGATCTGTTAGAAAAAACTATTTTGGACAAAAATTAGATAAAGAAACTGCAAAAGATTATTGTGCTGGTGGTTTTTAATGATTTATCTGAGTAGTATACATAATTTATAATTTTAAAATTGATTTTTTTCAATTTTTGTTTTTTGTATGAGTAGCTGTAGCAAAACAATGATATCTAAATAAAAAAACTTTATTTTAGCTTCAAATTTTCAGGATATGTTCATTATTGATGTTTTAAGTGCCTGAACCTGAAAAAACATTTTAAAAAATTAAGCTTAACCTACAATTACCATATCTAATGAGTGTTTTATCGCTAAAATAGTTTTTCATATCATTAAGTCTGCCATTTTTGATCGTTTAAATTTTTTTCAAAATTTTTTGGTTCAGGCACTAGCTACACTAGTGTACTAGCTTTTTGCAAAATTTAAACCTTTAATATTGATGTATTCTTAAGATATTTATGTTCTTGTGACGTTAACATTTTCACCTTTTTTTGTCAGCAATTATTTTTTATTAATTAAAAAAAAAAATTTGCATTACAACTACTACTAAGATATACAACTACTATTTTCACTCTTTTAAAATTATTTTCATAGATTTTATATTAAATCAAGCAATTAAATAAAGAAAAAACATTTTTTATAATTTAAACATTTATTATAATTTATTAATATAATTTTATTATTATTATAATTTATTCTTTTACAAATTGAATTTCAATTGCATAAACTATTTCTGATTACTAGTTTTTTACATATAACAATGTCAGTTTATGTACACCACTTTAGATGTACAAAACTCTAGTGCAACATTTCATCTCTGTAACGTGCCAAGCAGCATTTACAGTAATGTTTTATTTAAACTTAAGTATGCAATGCTTAGGTCAAATCAGAATGTTTTACAAATTTCAGTAATTGTAGGTCAAATCAGAATGTTTTACAAATTTCAGTAATTGTAGTGCCGGAACAAAAATACCCCTATGAGCTCATCTCCTCTGCCCAAACGTGAGGGCAATGAGTTAATAACTTTTTTTAGTTTCGCTATCACAATTTTTTTTTTCCTTTATTTTTGAAATAGGGTTTCCAATTTGTTCAACCTGTTTTTTTTTATACCATTTTAACACTTGAAACAGTAATGAAATAAATTGTGATTAAACTTCTTAAAAAAGTTATTTAGAATGATTAAGCAGTATTAAAAAAAATTGAAACTTAGAAAAACATACCACCTATGCTACTTAAAGAAGTGTTGATTAAAGAAACTCCACCCTCATGCAAAGCAGAAGCAGGATTCGATGGTGACCCATTATAAGTTCCTGTTAATCCAACTTCATTATATGGTGGAATATCTGACTCATGATGTTCATTTTGTGAACCACCCACTGATTCTGAATAAGGAGGAGGAGCTTCAGAAAAAGGTTGAACTGCAGTAGATACAGGAAAATTTGATTGAAGTAATAAATCAGCAGAAGATTCAGTTCTTCCTTAAATAAAAAATATTTTATATATAGATCTATATGATATAAGCCAGATGACTGCAATGCTTATATATAAAAAATTGATAATTAATCTAAACAATTTTGAAAATCTAAAAAAAATTTCCACTGGAGGTTCATATTCTCCATAGCAAGATCATACTCTCCATCATCATTATCTAATCATACTCTCCATAACATCAGGATCATATTCTAATATAGCATAATGTTAATTAAGTCAAAATGCTGATTTATAACAAATTAGTATAAAGTAAAAATAAATGGCATTTATTTTTACTTTATACTAATTATCTAATTAGTATAAAGTAAAAATCATTATTATCTAATCAAATTGAAATGGCAATGTGTGCAATTGATTTTAACCAATTAAGTTAAATTAATATAATTTTGTGTCAAAACCTTTTTATTTTAATCAACTACTCAACATCCAGCAAATAAAAAATTATAGTTTCAGACTCACAAATCCAAATGGTTCAAAAGTTATGATGCTTCAAAATAAATTGAAACCTGACTATTTTTAAAGCTTCTTAATCCAAAGATAAAAAAAAAATAACAGAATTCAAAATTTTTAAATTTTAAAATAGTCAAAACAACTTTTTGTTTTGCTACTATGGAGTACACTTTTTGTTTTGATTTATGTTACTAGGGATTACACTTTCACTAACTCATGAAGTTGCCTAACTCATTGGTTCAATTTTTTTTTCATATTCATTAAGAGATATTAGGTTATCTTAATATTTAAAAAAGTAGAACAATGCTTAAATATAGTTTTTAGTCTAAATATAGTTTTTAAATGTTGCAAGTTTAGGAATAGATTTCATCTTCAACAGTCCATGCCGTAATATTAAGCAAACTAAAAGTGGTTTCTAAATGTCCATGCCGTAATATTACGGTTTTGTGCATCTCTTTATATTTCTTTCTTGTTCATCAGTAATTATACATTTACTTGTCACAAAAGTTATTATTAGATAATTACAGAGCTTTTGTTTCAATAATTGTCTTATAAACGTGTTCAATTTAATTTTAAATATGACAAATAAGGAAGTTTTTTCAGTGCAAAAATAATTATCAAAAAGTAAACATTTACTCACGAATAGAATAAGATAGAATTTTATACATTTGATGAATAAATAATGAAAAGATATATTTAATGAATGATTATTGAAAATAATATTAATAGATTAATGCTCAAAGATGGTGTGCGATATGTTACAAACACAATATTCAAAAAGGTTCAGGATATGAATGTGTAGAGTGTTATGTAAGACTTTTTGCAGCTCCTTGCTTTTTACAATTATCATACAAAAAGTGAATATTAGTGAATGTATTTTTAAAATTTTATGTTTATGTAGTATGATTTATATATTCTTAAACTTTAATAATAACATTTTGTAGTGTTTATTAATGTTAAAAATAGTAAAAAACATTTTTTATTCTATTAGTTAAAAAACACGATGAATTTAAAAAAAAGCTGGACCGTTTAAAAAGAAAACACGGGACTGTTAAAGGGTTAATTTAAAATCCTGTTAAGTAAATATAAGTTTTATGACATCGGTTGTAATATATAAATATAGTTTTGTGACATCAGTTGTAATATATAAATATAGGTCAACTGACAACATATACATTGTTGCTTAGAATGAAAACTTTCAAAGATATTCCTGAAGATAGAACTGGTCTAAAAGATCTAAAAACTCCATCATTAACATATTTATTTGAAGTGTTATGCAACTAAATTAAGATGCCGCATTAAATACTCATAACAAAGCTTTAAAAGTTATTTTCAGCAGTCATAACTTTTATTTTTTAAATTTATGTGAAAATGTCAGGAATTACAATAATGATATTCTTTGCAAACAAGTTTTATTTTTGATATATTTAGAACTTATTTTTTAGCTAACCTCTGAAAGCTTAAATATCAATGAAATTAAAAATCATTTTTGTAAATAACAAATAAAGTCATATTATTCTACAGGTAGTCTTCATGAAACCAACTTGGCTACAGTGAATCCCTCTGCAAATTCTTAGCAACAGGTGAAAAGCATTGTCCACAATGATAATATAAATGAGCACCAAATGAAGATTTAGAAAAAAAAAAAAAAGACATAAAATTTATTGAAGATAATATGGAGAATCAAAATAGTATAGAACCAACAAAATCATTTCTCAATAGCGCTTTGTAAACATGAAGTGTCACTTTTAAAAATTCATTTATGCAAAAACCTCTACACAAAAACTTGACTTTAAATCTTGCTGCATTAAACAAAATTAAAATAAAAAATAATATTGAAACCAAAGCAAAAAGTCATAAATTTTTTGCATGAAAGAAAAACTAAGAGTTTATAACAGAAAGCAGCAACTTTAAATTCTAATATTGACCCCAAAATCTTGGTCAAAACCAAATTTCAAAAGTTAATTTGCAATGAAAAAGGCATCATAGCATACCCTGATGTAGTTAAATGACATAAAATTTACAAGGATATTTTGAAACTTGTAAAACTTTTTTTACTGTGACAATTAATATTCAATGCATGAATGTTATGCAGAACTTGCCTAATATAGTTTTTGAAATTGACAAAGAATGATGATTTCATGGTAAAGTTGTTGTATTACTGGCCAAACCAGAATGATATTTGCTGGGTTTTTAAAAAAGAATGTAATTTCTCTTAATAAAACATCCTCAACTTCTTCTGAACATCAGTACCACTTCATTAACTGAGACATTTTTTTTTTTTTTTTGTATGTATTTAGGTGCTCCCAGAAGTCCTTACGGTCTTATCATAGAGCACCGCGGGAGAGCATTTAACAGGAAGTTCGCGCCTTATTCCGTACCAATGTCGCTTGTTGGGCTGGAGCTGGCGTCGAACCTGGTACCTCTGGGTTCTGATCCAGAACTCTAACCACTGCGCCACGGCTGGTCGTATTAACTGTTTAACTGTTGTTTAACATTAACTGTTGTTTATAATAAACAATATTTATTTCACGGCAAAATGGACATTTTGACCTAAATTATTGTTTATATAAAACAATAGTCTAACATTTATTAAACACCAACAATTGGACAACATAAAAAATGAATTAAAGCGTAGCCCAAGAAAGTAGAATAAAATATTTGACTTCAAAAATTAAAATGCATTTAAAATTCAAAAATTTAGTATCAAAATTTTTGAATTGTGCTATTTTCTCTACATCCTTGAATTCAGCACCTTCAAAAATAAAAATTTAGTTATTTTCATTCACTAGAACATAAATTATTTTTGAATAGGTACAAAATTTATAATTAAAAATGTGAGCCGAAATGAGAAATTTTTTGCCTAAATTTAAAAATGACATCTACTTATGCTTAAAGAAATCATAACTTTATTTTACATAAAAAGGAAGTTTAGGGTTAGGAGGCTGGGTTAGGAGGCTGGGTTAGGAGACAAGTTGTGTTCATATTTTAAATAAGATTAAATAAGATATAAACAAAAAACTTTTCAGCTTTAATGTAACTTTGCTATTTTATTCTCAAAAATAAATTGTTGTTTCTTAAAATTTCATTTTTTTTCGTTTTTATCTCTGGTACATAACTTTTGATTTCTAATTTTAAGTAAATTGCTATAACATTTAGAAATACATTGCAAATATAGCAATATCATTCATTTATAACTTGAAAAATTAATTGAAAATCAGTTTATTATCTTAATGATATAAATACCTGATATCATCACATCAAAGCAGATCTGACAAACTCTTGCTGGTTTATTTTCCATATATGGCAAATTAAACTTCATGTTGCAGCATGCAGCACATAAAACCTTTAAAAAAAGTACAAAATATTTAAAAGAAAAATTTAGCGTATTATGTTTATTTAACATGAGAGAAAAAAGAACTTTTATTGTAATACTATCACAAAAAGGATTACTGCCTAAGATTAACAACCTCCTCCAACCCTCCACTCAAGATTAACAACCTCCTCCAACCCTCCACTCAAGATTAACAACCTCTTCCAAGCCCCAAGATTAACAATCTCCTCCGACACCTAAGCACTATTAAATTGGGAGTTTTATGTCAGTTTTTTTTCTCCATTGTAAATTACCTTCGCCAAGGCTAACATAGGAGCGTTACCTGCCCCAATATAGCATCTGTTCATCGCCATGACAAGGACCAATGACCATGACTATTACATTAAATTAAAATTTACAACTAAAAGTTTTTAAACAAAAAATGTTTAGTTGATAACAAATATGTTGTATTAAACCTTTAAAAAAACATCAAGCATGCACTTAAGTTTTGTTACGCTTGACCTGAGAACTTACATTTGAATACTGAGAACTTTTTAATTAATGTACTATTTAATATATTATGATGGCTATCCAAGCAAATAGTAAACTAACATAAGGGGTCGTCCATAAATTACATTACGCAATTTTTGACCAATTTTGACATCCCCTCCCCCCCCCTTGTCATAAAATTGTAATACTTAAGAATCAAGTTTTGTATGAGTCGTCACAAAACCACCAACCCTCCACCCCCCCTCCCCTATAGCGTGATGTAATTTATGGAGGAGCCCTAAGTAGTTAACATATTATAATAGTTATCTAACCTAATCATAAATTAAAATACGTAGTTAACATATTATGATGGTTATCCAAAAAATTGTAAACTTGAAAATTTTGTTAAAAAACTGAAATTACTTTAATTGAAAATTTATATTTTGTGAATAAAAAACTTTAATTTTATTATATTTACTATTTTACTATTTACTATTTACTCAACCTAAAAAACCATCCCCACCACCTAAATATTTTAATATATCTTTTACAAATATTCGCGGTCTACGAAGCAACTTACTGAGTCGTCCTCTTTACGTCTTCTTGGATTATCGCTTACTACTGACCTTTCATGGAAACCATATATACAATCGATTGCTAAATTAGCTTCTGCTAAGGTTGCTTCTCTTTATCGTGCTCGCCATTTCCTTACTTCTGATTCCATTCTCTACCTCTACAAATCTCTTATTCGTCCCTGTATGGAATAATGTTGTCATATTTGGGCTGGTTCTTCTAACGATTCACTTTCTCTTCTTGACAAGGTCCAAAAACGCATTGTAAATGTTGTTGGACCTGGACTATCTGCTAAGCTTGAACCTCTTTCCCATCGTCGTAAAGTTGCATCTCTTTCTCTTTTCTACAGATACTATCATGGTCACTGCTCAAAGGAGTTATCATCTCTAGTTCCATCAACTAAAATTCATTCTCGTTTTACTCGTCATTCAGCTAAGTCTCATTCGTTTTCTGTATCTGTCCCTGCATGCTCTAAAAACTTTTATTCATCTAGTTTTTTTCCCCGCACTTCAATCCTTTGGAACTCTCTCCCATCTTCATGTTTTCCTGACTCATACAACCTTCAACTTTTTAAGTCTTCTGTCAACTGTTTCCTTGCTCTATAACTCTGTTCTTTTTTTTTCCTAGTAACTCCCAACTTAATAGTGGTTGCTTGCAGCCTTGTTGGGAGTGAATGCAAATAAAAAAAAAAAAAAAAATTTACTACCTTTTCTCAGAACTACCTCTTCTGTGTCTACCAAACTAAGCTTTGGTTGACATTTGTTTGCAACCATGGTGTTGAAGAAACAAAAAAATTAAAAATTTTCAACACTAGCTTATATAAACTTCAAATATTGCTAACTGATTTATAGTCAAAACATATTGGAAAGTGCTTATCAAAAGAGTCTAATGTTACAACATTAAAAATTACTCGAATTAATATTTAAAAAAATGATTTTCAATAATTGTTTAGATAATTACCATTTTTATAATTATATTTTTGAAATAAAATTTAATAAATTTCTATTAATGAGAATGTCAATGTTTACTACTGACAATAAGCAGGTTTAAAACCATTGCATTATATAAAACATTTTAGTAAATAAAAGAAGCATGTAATTAACTAAACTACTGAATATTACTAATTACAGTATATATATATATATATATATATATATATATATATATATATATATATATATATATATATATATATATATATATATATATATATATATATATATATATATATATATATATATATATATATATAAATAATGTAAAATATATAAATTTAATACTGAATGTCAAATGCCAAATACCTTAATATCTTAACAACCACTTGGATCTTGCAAGACTAAACCCATCTTTTAATCATCACAACATGATGATGTTGTGACAATTAGTTTATTCTCGTTATTCAAACCATCATGATCATAATAACACAATATTAATATAAGAAAAATATCTATCCTGTAGTTGGAAATGTAATGTAATTACCTACATAGGGTAATACAAATATTAGTATTGTTTATATTATTTACAATATAATGTTTATAGATTTGTTCCAAACTCAATACTTTTTCCATTAAATTTGGATCTATGTAGATTTTTATTTATTTTCTTTAATTTATGTTACTGTATTAGAGTGGGTCATAAAAATTTATTTTAGAGTTGCTAACCTGGCTATGGCCTAGAAAATTGTTTTTTTATGAACTAATTCAGGAAAGTATTTACTTTTATGGATTGAACAATGTCTTCCACGTGCAACTTTAATTACAAAAATTAGCAGGCCCTATTATTATTCAAAAAAAAAAAAGTTTTTCAAAATTATGTGATGTTTGTATTCAAATAAAGTTAAATTTTATAAACATTTCAAAAATAATAAATTTCTCATGTAAAAATTATTATTTTAGATTTTATTGCATAATAACTATGGTTTTTTAACTAAAAATGAAAAAAGTGCATTTTTACAAGTTTTTTAATAACATTTTTTTTCCGGCAATATAATTCTTATAAAACAATTATTATTAACAAATTTTTTATAAAATTTCGTCTAAATATTAAGGAACTGGTAATTTTTCTAAGAAAGTTGCGCCCTTTAAATCTATCACAATCATTCTCATATTTGATAGTATCACTATTAATAACTATACACAATGTTTAGAGTCTGTAACAAGAAAAAAAAATTTTATGACCCACCCTAATATATATATATATATATATATATATATATATATATATATATATATATATATATATATATATATATATATATATATATATATATATATATATATATATATATATATATATATATATATATATATATAATAAAATGCATTACAAAAATGCTTTTAAATGCATTTAATGTGGAACCACGGATCTTAAGCTTAAAATAACAAACAATATTGAATAATGAACACCACTTGAAACTTTTTCATAAATTAATCAAGTTATATGGTTTTGTCGTGGAGCATCACATATATAAAAAAAGAAGAAAAGAATATCTCTGATTTTGTTTCACGAAATTACACTTTATACTTTATCTAAGAAAACCAGAAAAAAGTAAAGTGTTGGCTAATATAATTTTCATTGTAACGAAAATGGAGACAATTCTGTATCACTTTAAGATATATAATTATTTTCAACAGCAAATATTAGTTAAATTTAAATAAATAATTTTTGTCCAGAATTATAACAACCCTACATGCAAAATATGTGATAGATATATACTCAAAACAAGCTAATGATTAATGGGTAATATAAGAAGAAAAGAAAATTTTAATCCTGTCTCTTAAAAAAATAAGTTTTACAGATTGTTATTAAAGGACATCTAGGTGTCAAAATATTTTCTGAAAAATTCTTTCCAAACAACATAAACATTTATCCATATGGAGATTGCACTAATAAAAATTGATTAATGTGCTGAAATGATAGAAGAAATATAACTTTACTTTCTGATTGCTATTAAAGTTGACAAGGAATGTGCTCTGTATTCAAGCTGCATCAAGCTGCAGTGATAAAGTGTTCAGTACCAGTAATGAAATTATTAGTAATAACCAGGCTTGGTCGGGAAGCGGGTGCGATCGCACTCGATAATTGACCACAGAAATAATATTTAGTTGCAAAAAACCGCCCAGATTTTTTAGTTGTTTTGAGAACATTTCAAAAACAAACAAAAAAGCGTAATAAGATTAACTGGACCAATCAGAGACAGTTAAAAAAAGAAAAATAGCTTTTAACCCAAAAAAACTTTAAGCAAAATAAATTTATTAAAGCAATTATTTTTGAAACATCCCTCTTTTATAATTTTTTTTAATAAAATTAAGCGACATTTTTTATATAAAGTAACAACTATAAAGAAACAAATGTTCTTCAATTTATCAAAGAGTATATATAATTTTTATTTATATACATTAGTATATAAATAAAAATTATATATACTCTTTGATAAATTGAAGAACATTTGTTCTTCGATTTATCAAAGAGTATATATAATTTTTATTTATATACATAAGTATATAAATAAAAATTATATATACTCTTTAATAAATCGAAGCACATTTGTTTCTTTATAGTCTTATTTCCAGTAGGGCTATAGCCCCGGGACTCACAATGTTAGGGGAAATATTTAAGAGGACCATTCATTATTTTTTTTAGTCATTTTTACACTGTGGCACATATAAAAGGCCGCCAAAATAATGCAGCCCCTGGCCCTGAAAATTCCAACAAGATTTAACCAATAAAACTAACGCTAGATGATTTATTTATAAATAAAAAAGTTTTTTCAATAACTGTTTTATGCTTCACTTAGTTTAAAAAGTTTAACACATTTGAAACAATTCTTCTTAGTATGATGCAAATGAAAATAGTTAAATCAATGAGTTGCTGTAGAAATTCAATTAGCTAGATAGAAATTAACTAAAAACGTTAAATTTCTTTGTGAGGAGGAAGCGGAACTGCTTCACAATAACGCTGACGATGTTTAG